TGAAGCTCACAACTGCTGGGGCTCTCAGGGTCAGCTCCGGGCTTAGGGCACCCGCCCACTCAGAGAACCTTATAAGCCAGCTGAGCAGTGGGGCTGGCAGGGGCGGGAAGAATGCTGGGCTGAGCCCTCAGGGCTGGCCTGCCGTGCGAGTGGCAGAACTCCACTCCAAGGCTGCAGGCAGGCAGGGAGGAAGCTGTGTCCAGCCTCTGCCCCAGCTGACAACGCGGCTGACCCCCTCGTCTGACCCCGGGTGGGAACTCTGACCCGTCTGGGAAACTAAAAGGGCTGCCACTTTGGGGAGGCGAATGGAGGAAGGGAAGCTGGGAGAGGGATGGAGAGGAGCACAGGTCCCCTTCCATGCTATGGGCCCAGCCCCAGGTGCTCAGAGAGGGAGGACAGCTGCCACTCAGGTGGTGTATGTTCACATCCAATTTATTACTTTTATTGAGAACAGGAAGCCGCATACATAATGATACAGAGTCACCGTTCTCGCCGCAAGTAGCCACCACCATCCAGTGAGGAAGGTCCCTTCCACCCAAGAGCTCAGACCACTGTGCCGGTGGGTATGGGCCTGGAGGAGGACCTACTCCCTTCACCCCCAATCCATGACCTCGCTTGCCCTGCAGAGACTCAGCCACAGAAGAGACCAACAAGGAGGCCTGGAGGGAGATGCAGCCTTCCTTGAGGAGCGAGGACCACCATTCCCAGCCCGCCTAAGTTGGGATCTTGCAGCGCTTCCACTAGTGCTCTGGAGTAGTGGACACTACCAGCACCATCTCCGCACCCCCACCAAGCCTGGCCACCTACTCCAGGAACAGGCAGCGAGGTCAGAGCAGCAGCATCTTTGGTTAGGATATCGCCTGATGAACGTGTCCCAGAGAGCCTGAGGACAGCCAGGGCTAACTGCAGGCTGAGGAGCAGGGCCTCCTTGGCTGCCCTCGCTAGCACCTACTCCTGAGACACACGGGGGACACACAGGACTCCCGGCTCATCGAGGGACTCACTTCTCCTGGAACTGGAGGAATCCGGGTTTGACCTGGGGCTTGGCGTTTTCTAGAGAAGTCGTTGCCAAGGGCGAAGTGGGCAGGTGAGGCACTGACGCTGGAATCTGAGGCATCTGGGGTATGGTGGAAGCCAGCTGCTTCCAGGCGAGCAGGGTTGGGGTAGAGGGCACGGCGGCCGGGCCGGGAGTGGGCCCCTCCAGAGAGGAAACCGTGGCTGTGGTGACAGGAGGCGCCGGAGGGGATGCGGGGGCCAAAGAAGGTTTGGTCTCAGCAGCTGAGGCTGGGAAGGAAGCCTCTGTGTTTCCTTTCACTGCTCCTCCCTCCGTCCGGAAGTGGAAGCTGCAAGAGGCAGGAGAGGGCGTCTCAGGTGGGCTGTGGAGAAGGCCCTGAGCAGGTCAGCCATTCCTCGCTGGGCATGCCTGGGGGTGGTGGGCCCTGCCTGTCTGCCTCAGAAGCCTAGGGTCCCAGTGTCCCCTTCTCGTCGCCAGTGCTAGGCATGATCCCACTAGGCGAGAAGGGCTGAAAGCAAATCGCGTCCTCCAGTCTTGAACTTGGACTCCTGGCTCAGCCCTAACTATGCCATCCTACTTGTGACCTTCCTGATGTGTCTGTCCCTATCCTCCCTACACAAAGGGGGCTCTCGAGGACAGCAGGCCCTGGATCACAAAGCCCATCCTTCTAGAACCTGCTCTGGAATTTAAAGATAGGTCTCAGTATTCAGAATTGGTTCTTTGCAGACTAGCAGCTAAGGCTGCCCAACAGTGAGAGAGCCCGATCCGGGGTTTAGGGAGCAGTGAAGATCTGATTTAAATGTTTGCAAGTTCTGGGTTCAATTATAATACGTGGCTTGGCTTGCCACATTTCAGCTCCCTGGATTTTACAAATTAATTTCATTACTTTTAGGTTAAAGAGAATCTACAAATACAGTATTTTAGCTGGAAAAGGCCTTCACTGAGGGTCCCTGCCCGGGTCACAGTTAGGTGTCTCCAGCTGGCTCTGCAGGGAGCATCTGTGGTGGGCTGATGGCTGCACTGGGCCTGGGTGAGCTCAGAAGACCTGGCTGGTGGTGGAGCAGATGGGGGATGGGGAAGCCTGCCTTTAGTCAGACAGCACCTTCTGAGAAGAAGCCAGCTCAGCTTCTGAAGTCTGGTGGGAACGACACACAGGTCTTTCATGGAAGGCAGCAAGAGGCCTGTGAAGCGTCCAGCCCCACTCAGCCCAGAGCCAGGTTGGGATAAATGGGGCTGGGTTTAAATGGGCCCCCTCCAGGGACCCCAACTCACTTGGCATGCTTGATGGCCCCGTCCAGGGTGCTGAAAAGTGCGCCGCACTCCTCCACCACGCAGTGGAAGTGGGCCTTGTGAAGGAAGTCACACTGGGCATCGCAGAAGTCCTTGGTACCAAACCTGGCCAGAGGAGCCAGCGGGTTAGAGGAGACCCTGGAGCTCTGTCGAGGCCGGGATGTGTGGTAGGGCCGGGTGCTGGCCACTAGGACGGACGGGCATGGCTCCTCCCTCCCCTTTGCTCTCCCGATGAGCCGCTCACCTGCGAAGGTACACCTTCCAGGGCTCCGACAGCTTTTCCTGGACCAGCGCCTTCGCGGCCTTGCCCAAGAAGGGCGAGGACTCCACGGCGGGGCTCCCCTCCGCTTCCGTCTTGATGTTCAACAGGCTGCCGAGGTTGGGGTTGCCCTGAGACATCTGTGAGGAGGACAGGGGCTGTGCTTGGGGCTGGGAGACCTCAGGACACAGGACTGGCTACCCTGGGAATAGCAGCAGCTCTGAGCCACTCGGGCCTCTCACAACCGAACAGAGCATGGCGGCAGTGCTGGAGAGGCAGCACAGGAGAGGAGGCCCAGCCCGCGTGGCTCTGGCTATGGAAGAGCCGTCTCTGAATGGACGCTGCTCCGGCCCTGTGGAGATGCCAGGGCTCCCGCACACAAGCCCCTTGCTGCTAGGAGCCATCACTCAAGCTGAGGCCGAGACTCGGGGCACACACTCCTGCCCAGCTTTCCCCAGACTTTGTGGCTCCCTGGTTATTTTCCTGCCAGATTTTCAAAAGAAGTACAGGAGGAGGAGGGGTGAGGGGAACCCCTACAAATTCCTTGAGAACAAGAGAAGGCACACAAAGGAGGAGCAGGGAGGGAGGGAGGGAGGGAGGGAGGGAGGCTCGCGGGGTGAGAGCAAGACAGCTGAATGCTGCTGGGCGAGGAGGGGAGCCGGGAGGGGAAGCCCTTGTGAAGGCTTGACTGGAGCGGGTGTGGGACTCTGACAGGAAGGGACTGGGGGTGCCAGGAGCAGTGTCCCAAGATTGGGGAAGGGGAGCACGAGAGCAAGCAGGCAAAGGAGGGAAGAAAGAGGCACGGGGTGGGTGCCGGGGCAGAGGGGAGTGGCGGGCTCCTGCCCTGCCGAGGGCTCAGCCAGGTCCCCAACCCCATGGGGTCTGGCCCAGGACCAGCTCCCTCCGCAACAGTCACTTGTGTACAGTAACCAAATTAATCTTGCTGTAGTCAAATTTATCATGTGAAGGAGGAAAATATATTTGAGATGATGTATAATTTACAAAGACCCTGCATTATTTAAAATAAATATTCCGGAGCGACCTCTGCGGAAGGCGTCCGAGACCATTACTCACCCCGAAAAGTGGAAATTGATGCTTTGCTCCCACTTTGGTCCCCCCTCACCCACCCCCTTTTAAACAAACAAAATATATAAAATAAATAAATAAAATTAATAACTAAAAGCGAAAGAAGTTAGAGGGCTTTGGAAAAGCTTTTGGAGCCCTCCATCTGAAGGGAAAAAAAGGGTGTCAGAGGCTAGAATATATTTCTTCAGCCAGTTCATTAAATTAATTTGTAAGCAGTGGCTCTGAAATTATATCCGATGAAAAATGGCCTCAAAATTTAAATGGTACAAACTCATCTTATTAGAGGCAAAACATTAAAAAACAAACACATCCCCCCACCCCCCAGCACAGCTTTAATTTCTCTGGGTGGGGGAATGGGAGGCGTGTGATGGATGGTTCTTACCTTATTCATAAGCGAGGATAAAAGAGATGAATTTGCCGGGACTGCGTGGCCATTTGATTCATTACTGGAACACACAAACCAAGGGGCTTTAGCTCAGACATACGTAGGACTGAGCCCAGAGCCTCACCCCTCCCAGCCCGGCCCTGGGGCTCCAGCCCGCCTGCTACATCTACCGGGGCAGGGGGACGACCCCTTCCGGGAGGGCTTGGCCCCTGGCCCCTGTTGGGGTCTGGCTCGGAGGGTGCAGTACCCTGAGCCTCCTGCAGGGGGGCAGACCTGGGAGACCGCTGCCTCGCCTCACCTGGGCTCCTTCACAGTCAGGTCTAAACTGCGGTCCTGGGAGGCCTCGTGGGAACCTGGGGTGCCAGCATTCTCACCGGGCTCCTGCTTCACCGGGGCTGGGGGGAACCTGGTGGGGGTGGCCTGCTGCCCATTTCCTACAGGGGAGGGGAGGGAAGATGGTGTTAGAGGGGCTGAGAGCTTCATATGGGCATAAACCAGGACCTCTGGGAGAAAGAGCAGAAGGCCGGGTGGGCTAGGGCCCTTGGGGAGCCCTGACTGCTGGTCAGCGATTCTCCCCACTGACGGGATCGCTTGTGACGCTTACCCCTGTGTGGCAATTCTTCAAGTGATAATTATTGCAAAATTATGTCAAAGTTGTCCAGG